CAACAAAACAAAACAAAACAAAACAAAAACAAAACAAACTATGAATGAAGTCATTCATCTGATCCTTCCACAGACGTTTTTGAGCACACAACTCAGCCATGCTCGAAGGGCACGAAATACCATGGCAACCTTGCTTGCAGATGGTCGTGTCACAGAGTTCTCTGGAGAAGCAACCCAAACTGAGCCCTAGGAGACAAGGAAGACTGTGAAGGTGAAATTTAAGCTTGAAAGAGAACACAGTGTGATGGGTATAATTGGTTGTCAACTTGACTACATCTGTAATGAACTACCATCCAGAAATGGAGGGCACAGCTGTGACCTGGGTCTTGGGATGCCACATGCCTTTAGTCTGGATATTGAGATGGGAAGATACGACTTTAATCTAGGGCACTCCTTCTGCCGCGAGTCTACATAAGGACATGGAAGAAGGAAGCTTCTGGTTTTTCTTTGCCTGCTTGCCCTCACCTTGCTAACATATCCATTCCTTCACTGGCATTGGAGCTTGCTTCTTTGGGATTCCAGCTTATACAGAAGACCAGCTTTGTGGGACCGAGCAACTACTAGATTCTTAGGCCTACTATTCACAGCTAGCCATTGTTGGATTAGTTGAATTGCAGCCTATAAGTCATTCCAATAAATTCATTCATTCATTCATTCATTCATTCATTCATTCTCTCTCTCCCCCCCCCCTCCCTCTTTCTCCCTCTCCCTCTCTCTCCCTCTCCCCCCACCCCTGTCTCTGTCTCTCAATTCATTCCATATGTTCTGTGACTCTAGAGAACCCTGGCTAATACAGATATTTTAACATGGCCTTTCAAATCTCAGCTAACATGTCTTTTTTGAAGCTCTCCCTGATAGCTCTTTCCAGAGCAGTGAGAACACAATCCACTTCTTCACAGCACCCTGCTCATTTTCCTACTAGTACTGTGTTAAGGTAAGTCTGGGATTGGGAATGTAGCTATACAGGCCTAGATTCAAACTACAGTACTGAAGAGGCAAAAAAACAAAACAAACAACAAACAAAAAAACCCTACCACTTGGGAGGCAGAGACAGGCAGATTTTTGAGTTCGAGGCCAGCCTGTTCTACAAAGTGAGTTCCAGGACAGCCAGGGCTACACAGAGAAACCCTGTCTCGAAAAACAAAACAAAACAAAACAAAAAGACAGATGCTAAAGAAATTTGGGTCAAATCCAGGCTCTGTTACTTTCTAGTTTTTATAATGTTTTGTTTGGTATTTTTGAGATGTAAGATATGTAGCCAGGCCACCCTTGCTGTTTCAGACTCTTAAGTGCTGGGATCATAGTCACAAACCATATTTGGCTATATAATACTTAGAAATTTATTTAGCCTCTCTGTGCTTTAATTCCTTAATAAAATGTGTCAATCAAATCAGGAATTTATGTTGCACTGCATTTAAATGTGGCCATGGAGGACCAGGAGATAGCTTCATGGCAGAGCACTTACCTAATACCCACACCAGGTGTGTGTGTGTGTGTGTGTGTGTGTGTGTGTAGACCATGGGACTGAAAAGGAATGGATAGACATATGGTAGGTAGTATGTCAATGGCAGAATCAACAGATGAATTCAACAAATGAGAGAAACAGTAAAGGTCATGCCAAAGAAAGAAGAAAGGATAAGAGGCAGTCCTGGCAATACTAATTTCTTCCTTTCCCCCACTTGGTGTTATGGTTGAAGTCAGGCTTCAAATATGCTAGACAACTGCCCTACCACTATGTGATCTTTAACACTTAAGAGGTGTTCCTATCTGTGACAAAGGTGCATAGCACTGAAATGCCAACAAACCCCTTTTAGTCAGGGCTGGGGAGGTGGCTCGGTGGGCCATGTGTCTGCATGCAAGACTAGAAACCTGAATTCAGATCCCCTGGAGTACACATAAATGCCTGGCGTAGTGATGTGGGTCTGTATCTCATGCTAGAAGTAGAGACAGGAGACTAGGGGCTCACAGGTCTTCAAAATAGACCCTGCTTCAAAAGACTTCGGGAGAAACCTTGTCAACTTCTGGTATTCATTCGTCCTTCTTTGCATGGGGATTACATCCATCCCTCCTTTTAGCAGATGAGGCTTTATTAAAAACGAAATGTACTGACTCAGCAGCCTAAGACACATACACACAGTAAGGAGACAGGCTTCCTAATTTTAACTTACTGCGTCAGAAGGTAAAGTAAAATGTTTAAGTTGCTTTTGTAAAAGAAAGCTTGGTCCTTTGTAGCAAGGACCTCTTGGTATCTAATTTAAAGTCTGACAATGTTCTTGTTGTCAACATGGTACACAGTGCCCTCCGGTCCAGGCGTGAGCTTCCTGCTGTGACTTCTGGGCATCCTTTTTGAAACAAACCTTCTGACCTGGAAGGCCGCTGAGACCTTTTGGGATAGTTGAATGGTAGATAAAAATCTCCAGGGAAGTAGGTGTGGGCAGGATGTGTGGTTTCCCTGCCTCTCGTCTGAAGGCTGGTTCAGTTCGTTTGGCATAAATGGGGTCTTAGACTAAAAAGGTTCATTCCGGAGTGTTCCAAGAGAAACACAAAAGAACAAGCTACCTATTGATCTTCATTTCAAGTTGAAACTAGAACATTCTTCCTCAAAGGTAGAAAAAGGCACAGCAAGGAAACTGTGTCTCTTACTATAACCTCAAAGCAGCCACCTCTGCCAGTGATTCTGCATCTGATTCTGTAAGAATACACACAGCAGGGTATGCACATGTTTACCGAATAATCTAGAACAAGCAGGAAGATGTAATAACAAGTGTTTTACTCTGGCTCTGAGTGTGCACAGTCGACTGAATCTGGGGAAATGGTTCTCAGTTGTTAGTGATACACTACATCTTTCCCTGGCACTGCAGGCTAGTCATAAGTAGGCACTGCAAGCATTTGGAAAATACACCTTTAGTATACTTCTCCCTGGTCTGAGACCCTTTGCAATAGGAGTATCTGTGGGCCGAGGGAAGCTACTGTACAGTCCTGATAGGCATCAATGAGGCCGAATGCAGCCACTTTACCCAAGGCTACTTAGGAATAAAGTACACAGAGAGAAGGATTCTAATATGAACCAAATGCACACATTGCTCCTGCTGAAGAACACTATTTTCTCTCTAGCAAAGAAGCTCATTTCATCTCTGACCCCGGCTAAGCTACAGTAATCTGCTGCCCGATATTCCAGGCCAAAGGGGCTGTGTTAACAGCTAGTGCCTGACTTTCAAGGACTACACTCAAAGCAAGTAAGCCACTGGTTGGTTACCCCAATGCCACTGTCATGGTTTGAATATGCTTGGCCCAGGGAGTAGCACTATTTGGAGGTATGGCCTTGTTGGAGTAGGTGTGTCACTATGGGCATAGGCTTTAAGACCCTCATCCTAGCTGCCTGGAAGTCAATATTCTGCTAGCAGCCTTCAGATGAAGATGTAGAATTCTCAGCTCCTCCTGTATCGTGCCTGCCTGGATGTTACCATGCTCCTGCCTTGATGATAATGGACTGAACCTCTGAACCTATAAGCCAGTCTCAATTAAATGTTATCCTTTATGAAACTTGCATTGGTCATGGTGTCTGTTCACAGCAGTAAAACCCTAAGACAGCCACCAAAGATAGAGAGTAAGTTTATGCAGAGTCTAGGGTGACTTGTCTTTAGTCCCAAGCCAAAGAAAAGATATTAGTGACAGATGAACTGGTCAATTCAGGGAAGGAGCCTGCTAAAAGAATAGGAAAGCCCATATTAGCCTTAGCATTGTATTGTTTTGGTCCTGGGGGTTGAATTTAGGAACTCATCCATGCTAGATAAGTACTCTATTATGAAGAAACATCTTCATTTCAAAAAGAGATTTGCTAAATTACCTGGGCTATCCTTGAATTATTCTATATTCCAGGCAGACCGGGAACTTGTCATCCTCCTGCCTCAGCTTTCTGAATAGCTTCAGTTACAGGCTTTCACCAGCAGGCTTCGTCAGCCTTATAGCACATCAATTTCACATCATCCTGGATGGTCATGGCTCTTTTTAATATAACTCAATATCTTTATTAATTGGTTTCCATTTCCTCTGGGGAGAGGTTTCCACTTGCTCATTGGCTTGTATGTGGATTCCAAGCGTGTGTGTGTGTGTGTGTGTGTGTGTGTAGGTCAGGAGACAACTCACAAAAGTCACTTCTCTCCTTTTACCTGGGGATTGAACTTCAGTTGTAGGGTTAGTGACAGGCACCTTTGCCTGCTCAGCCCGTATCTGCTCACCCATTCCTCATTTCTTTACTACATCTATATCGTACTGATACAGCAGAATATTTAAGATCAAAACCCATAAAATCAGGCACTATATGTGAATGGCTTTGCATTTCTATTTGCTATGAGAGCAGTGCTTACAGGCAGGAGACAAACGTTTCTGGCCATCGAGGAACTTCTGTCCCAGACATGATTCTGTCAGGGACACAGTCTCAAGTAGCACCAGCTACATAATCTGTGAAGTTTACAGTGTAAGTTGCCATTTAAAACCAGTAAGATGCTTGAGGTTGGAGCTGAGAGGTCAAGTATTTGTCTAACATGGTAGGAGACGTGTGGCTTAATCTCTAGCACCAGGCAATGGGGGCAGCAGTGACAACAATTAATAATAATAATAATAACAGCATCATCAACAACAATAATACAAGAAAGAAAAATCAAAGACTGAAAGTAAAGTGTGGGGATGAATATGACATAGTCTACATATTCAAGAAACTGGGCCCACTCTCAAGAGGGTCTACCTAGGCTCGTATCTGGCTTTGTCATTTCCTAGTTAGGTGATCCTGGACAAGTCATCTATAAAACAGGGACAGTAAAGAGTCTCTGTCTATCTCATTGAGTCCTTCCAGACTGAATTAGGTGTTATCTGAAAAGTGCTTAAAATACCTGGCATTCAGCAAGCACTACATAAATGTTTATGAATATACTCCCCACCAGGCAGGCTTTTCAAAAAGCTAGAGACAATTATAGCCATTGGAAAAAAATTTAATTTTTTTCTTCATGTTTGAAAATTTAGATTCCTGACCGATAGAATCATGCTTTTATTCTGAAGACACTGCCAATATTTTAACCAAACAGATTTTAAAATACAGTCTGGATACAGGCCAACAACACATAAAGCAGACTGAAGAATACAGAAAGACACTTGTTTATAGTTGGAGAACTGGAAGTCTGTGGAGTGTAAATGGACATAAAACCAGTTTAACAAACTGCTTCCTTTATCACTGAGATGCTTCCCAGAAGGATGAAAGACCGACCGGTCTGAACAGGACCAAAGGGATGCCTTGTTCTTTATCTCCCTCTTTCCTCACTTCTCTGTTCCCAGTTCCTTACACCAAGAACTCCTGATCCTCCTCCCTCGCCTCCTGAGTGGGATTGCAGGCTAGAACGACAATACCTACCCCCTAACCTGCCTTATCCTGTTCTTTTCTTTTTATAATGTAGAATGCTTTTGTTTTATTTAAAGCTGTAAAACAGGAAATGTTTCTAAACATACACACTCTATATTTAGGTCAAGGGGAAAAAAATCAAACCCATGGCTATAAGAGTCCAAAGAGAACCTGCGAGTAGTGTTATACACCTTTATTTAGAAAACTGTTTTCGTGTACAGACATAGCTATTTGGTGAGCATTATGTGCAAAGTTTATCTTTCTTCATTGAGTTATTTGTACATTTTAAATTCTTTACCATTGATAATTCTTTGGGCATTTGAAAAACTTTTCAGTAAAGATAATACAGTAAATATTATTGGTAATTGTAATGTTCTCAAGACTTAGGGTTGCCATTTGTTAAACAATCCGTCCCAGGTACACAGACTTGGGGTACTTCTCCTTAAGAGTGGGCCACTGAACAATGAAGTAATCAGAGAGGTGCCTCAGAATCTTCCCAGAAAGGGACAATGTCTCCACGCGGCAGATGCTCTCAACGTAGACAATGATCACTTTCTTTATTCCAAGAATCCCAAGTAACAGGGCAGACACACAGACAGGAACGCACGTCCCTGGTCCGTTACACAGCACCTTAAAAAGAAGAAAGGCCAAATAAAAATACAGAAAATGTCTTCAGCAGACCATTCTGAATTTAACACCTTAGAGGGAGATTTAATAATCCAGTTAAGTCTTTCTTTTAGGGACACGAATGTGACAGTGTGTACTGAAGGCAATGTACTCAGAAGTCATGTGGAGCTTTGAAGTCTTGGCTCTCTTGCTTGCCAGCTGTGTGACTTCGGGTGAATCACTTAACTTTTTTTTTCTCTCTCTCCCCCCTCCCCCGTCTGTGGGGGTATGCTCACTCACCTGTGTACATGTAAAGGCTAGAGGTCAGAGGTTGACCCTGGGAGTCTCCTTTTACTGTTCTCCACTTTAGTTTTTGAGATGAGGTCTCTAACTCACTCTAGGGCTCACGATTTTGGTTAACTGGCTGGCTAGCCCTGGAGTCCCACATCTGTCTCTCTCCACCTACCCATGCAGGGCTCCAGACTCCTGTGGCTTTTAAGTAGGTGATGGGGATCCAGGCTCAGGTCTTCACGCTGTACAGCAAGCATTTGCCTGCTATGCCATCTCTCCAGCACCACGAGGAATTTTATTTCAAACTTCTACCATAGTGGTTGGTGATTTACTCAGTACTCACTGCATGGAGTATTTTACTCCTCTCTGAGCCTCACAAACCTTCAGTGTCCCACAATACAGAGAAAAGCAGAAAACAAAACAAACTATGATCCATTCAGTTTTCTTTCTTCTACTTATGTTCTTAATGTATAAGAAAGAGCTTTCTTTCTTTTTTTTTTTTTTTTTTGGTTTTTCGAGACAGGGTTTCTCTGTGTAGCTCTGGCTGTCCTGGAACTCACTCTGTAGACCAGGCTGGCCTCGAACTCAGAAATTCACCTGCCTCTGCCTCCCGAGAGCTGGGATTAAAGGCGTGCGCCACCACTGCCTGGCAAGAAAGAGCTTTCAATGACTATGATGTAGTATCTCTTGGGGCTCCAACCCAACAAACAGGACATTTGGAAGAAGGCTAACACCTGAATGAAGTTTTGTGTGTGTGTTTGTTTGTTTGGTTGTGTTTTTTTTTTGTTGTTGTTGTTTTATTCAACCGAACTGAATCTGGGCCCATGACACAGAAGAACTTTAGTATTTCTGGAATTCTGCTAATATCTACAGAAACCCACCAGTTTTCAATAAATTGGCTAACTAATCTAACAAGAGAACTAACAGCTCCAATCACAGAACAACTGCAAAAATGTTTATTAGTCTTTGAAGAAATGGGAGGAATCTTGCTTCATAGACTTATTAGTAAGATAATTTATTATTGCTTGAGAAAAAGCATTTAATTCAATATCTTTCTCATACGCTCACAATGACTGAATTAGTGAAACCCAGTAAATCATTTTACTCCCCAGCGACAAAGCAGGAGGCTTGTAGTTGTCTGCATGCCTGTTAGCATCGTGAACAACGTCACATGATCCTCCCAAAACCACAAAACATCAGAGACTCTTCCAGAAGGACGGGTCCTCAGACACAGGGTCGAGTGTCTGCGCCACACACAATAGGGATTCTCACACAGACGAGCAGCCTGGCTCTGGGCAAATATGGCAAAGTTCACAAGAGTCTGATAAAAGTCATTGTGCCAAGCTCCAGCCTTCCTGCAAGTATGAGTGCCTACACAGCACTCACAGAGCTCTGCTTAGTCTCACGTGGGATCCATCTTTTTGTAACTTTCCGAAGCAGCGTTCTTCCTATAATTTAAATGGTTTCCGTCTTTCATGGAGAACTTTTTATTTAGGATGTCTTCCAAGTTAGCAGTGACTAAGTGGAGCCAGAGTCCTGCCTTTCATCGCCATTAAATAAACAGACCCTCAAAGCAGCAGAGTGCAAACATTGGTCTAAGGTGGGTAGGAGTGGTCCACAGGCTGCAGCCGGACTGAGACTGGGCCACAGCAGTAGATCTCACCAGCACTATTTATTAACCACTCACCATGGCCGTAGACCACACCAAACACAACATATAAAATACTTTAATTATTACTTGCAGTGATAAGAAGGCAGTCTGCTTGATTGGTGGTAGAGGGCTTATATGGTTTCAGACTACATTTTTCTTTAGTTATCCTCCTAACTTAAAAAATGGGGAAATCGGGACTGGAGAGCTGGCTCAGTGGTTAAGAGCACCAACTGCTCTTCCAGAGGTCCTGAGTTCAATTCCCAGCAACCACATGGTGGCTCACAACCATCTGTAATGAGATCTGATGCCCTCTTCTGGTGTGTCTGAAGACAGCAACAGTGTACTCACATACATGAAATAAATAAATAAATCTTAAAAAAAAAATTAAAAAAAATGGAGAAATCAGTCCTAAAACTCCAGTTTGCCTCTACCGTTGTTTGATATCTAAGCTTACTCTGATTTTTTTCCTGGCCTTAATGTGCCCAGCTCCCCCTCCAGTTGTACGGACAGCTCTGTATCACAGAATGGTCAGCTGATTCTTTGGCCTCTGTCCACAAGACTTCTGTAGTCAAGGCAACCAAGAAAGATCTCAAGCACTGCCACATTGGTCCAGGTAACAACTACTGTATTAATGCCTCAATCTTCAAAACTGTGTAGAACAAAACCAAAGTTACAGCCTGCTGGAACTTCAGCAACATAAGACATGTTCAATATGTTGTTTTTAAAAATGACATATATCTACATTTGTTCACCTCAACATCTGGCTGACTCTCTACGCAAGAGGCATACACACATAAAGGACTGGGTGCTGATGAGAGATTCTCTGCCGTCGACGGGAGTGAGATGCTGGTGAAAGTGAGAATCAAAGCTATTTTGTTTGCTTCTCAAAGCTCTGTATCTCCACCCTCAGAGGCATGTTACTCCAGAAGTCACAGTACAGCAAACCCAGAAAATTCTAAGTCAGCTAGTCAGAGGGAAGTGCACTCTAACCAGGATAAAGTGACTGACGCAGCCTGTCCACATCCCTGGCTTTGACCCCTAGACCGGAGTACAGGAGGTAACGGAGAATTGGGGAAAGCAAGAACCTCAAGGAAAACCTCTTTTAATTAATTGCAGATTTTAATTCTAACAGCAGTCTAAATTTTTTTAAAATGTGGATTATGATTTTATTATTCTAAGAGGCATACCAGAGAGACTTACTCCAAGCACTGAAAAAAAAGGTCACTGAGAAGCTTTGTGTTAACAACTTTAATGTAATGGCTGACAGTGCCAATTCTCACTGCTTGCCCATCACTGCCCTGGCCTCTCAGTGCCTGCCCATCACTACCCTGGCCTCTCAGTGCCTGCCCATCACTGCCCTGGCCTCTCAGTGCCTGCCCATCACTGCCCTGGCCTCTCAGTGCCCGCCCATCACTGCCCTGGCCTCTCAGTGCCCGCCCATCACTGCCCTGGCCTCTCAGTGCCCGCCCATCACTGCCCTGGCCTCTCAGTGCCCGCCCATCACTGCCCTGGCCTCTCAGTGCCCGCCCATCACTGCCCTGGCCTCTCAGTGCCTGCCCATCACTGCCCTGGCCTCTCAGTGCCCGCCCATCACTGCCCTGGCCTCTCAGTGCCTGCCCATCACTGCCCTGGCCACTGACTCTTGGCTTACTTCAAAGGCAGTCTACAGTCTGCAACAAAGCAAAGCTACCAACAAGGAAAAGAAAAAGCAGGGGCAAGGGGGTAAGGAAAGAGAGTGGCTCTGTCCTCCCAGACACTCCCCATCACTCTACCCACTCAACTTTATGTTCTTTCTCTCTTCTTAAAAAACAAAAACAAAAGCAAGAAACAAAAACTCCCCACCAAAAATGAAAATCAAAACAAACAGGCAAAAGATAAGACAAAAAAAAAAGAAAAAGAAACAAAAAACAGACAAAAAATAAAGCCAAAACAAAACAAAAAGTCTATAAAAAACTACCATTGAGTTTATTTTATGTTGGCCAACAGCTGACAACTGTTTACCTTTTTCTCGGAGAACCAGTCTATCCTTTGCTCCCAGCTCAAGTGATTGAAATGTTCTACACAGCTATAAGGAAGGGACATATGAATCCAGCCTGAGTAGAGCACTGCATTTTTCTGCTAAATGCCTCTGGCTCAGGAAAGAGCACATAAGACAGGCAGAACCACAAGACTGGAACACCTGATGAGCCTTCTGACTGAACCTGTCTCCCTCTCCTCCTCTCCCTCTCCTCCCCTCCCCTCCTTTTTTCCTCCCTCCCTCCCCTCCCCTCCTTTTTTCCTCTCTCCCTCCCT